GTTAGCAATAAATCGTAAAAGATACGCTACAAGGCGTTGAATTTTCGTGAATTGCGAAATATCGTTAAGTAGATGATCTAAAATATTTTCATCAGGCAAAGAGGTAAAAAGACAGATTTTTTTGTCTTCTTCAGGACAAAAAGAAACATCTGACACTGTGATTGCAGATGAAGTAGGCCAATTACAATCGGGTTCATACAAAAAAGACGGCCCGTTAAACCAGAGATAGTGTGAAATAAAAGCGGACGGAAAAATTCCTCTGGAAGCAACGTCAGCGGGGTTTGACGCAGACTCAATATAGTACCAACAGTTCGGTGGGATTTTGTTCTGTATATAGGATATTCTATTCGCCACAAAGGTTTTTCGACAGTTAGGGTCTCCCTTAATCCAGTAAAGCGCGATTTGAGAATCGGACCAAGCATATATTTTGCGATAGTTTAAATTATCACCAAAAACACTAATGATGTAACTAATTAATTTGGTCAAAAGTACTGCGGCACAGAGTTCCAATCGCGGGATAGTTAATTTGTTGAGCGGAGCAACTTTTGACTTTCCACATAGAAAGTGATTTGAAACTGAATCGTCCGTACTAATTATTCGAAGGTAAATCACACAGGCGTAACCTCTCTCACTTGCGTCGCAAAATCCATGTAGATCGCAAATTAAATAGTTAGCTGGACGAATAGCACGCGGAATTCGCAATTCGGACAAATATCGTAATTCAGATTTATATTGATTCCACGCCCGGACTATATCATAACTCGGAGAATCGTCCCATCCGATTCCAGACGACCATATGCGTTGAATTAAAATTTTTGTATAAAATGTAATAGGAGAAAGGAAGCCTAAGGGGTCATAGACCCTGGCAAGCTCAGATAAAAGCACACGTTTGGTGCACGTCCTGTCATTGGCAGGTGAAATCGAGAAAAAAAAACAATCGTGGATTGGGTTCCAACGTAAACCAAGTACTTTCATGGAAGAACTCAGGAAATCCGAATGAAAGGTTAGTGAATCGTTGGACACATGCGATGGAGGTAGATGGGAGATTAAAGACGGGTCATTAGTGCACCATTTGCGTAACTCGAATCCACCAAGTTTCATGAGAGATATCAATTCATCAACAAGACTGCGAGCATCTTCATAAGTTGCTACGGATATAACAAAATCATCAATGTAGGAAAATTGTCGAATTGCATGAGCAGCATTCGGGAATAGAGCACCTTCGTCGTCGGCGAGTTGACGAAGGGTGCGAAGGGCAAGAAATGGTGCACAGTTAATTCCATAAGTTACTGTAGTTAAGCGGAAATCTTGAATCGGATTTTCGGGCGAAAATCTCCATAAGATACGTTGATAGTCACATTGATATGGGTCAACTTCAATCATGCGGTACATTTGCTTTATATCAGTACACAAAGCAAAGGGGTGCAAACGAAAATTCAATAAAATACTGATAAGGTCTTGTTGTAATTTTGGACCAATCATCAAATGGTCATTCAAAGAAGTTTGACCGGGCAACTTTGCAGAAGCGTTAAAAACGACTCGCAATTTTGTTGAAGAACTATCAGGTTTTAAGACACAGTGGTGAATTAAGTAATAAGATTCATCGGGAATGTCAGAACCTTCGATAGGTTCCATATGTTTCAAATCTAGATATTCACGCATAAAATCCGAATATTGGGAATAGAGAGCGGGATTTTTCAACAAGCGGCGCTCCAGAGACAGGAAGCGATGATATGCGAAATTTCGAAATCCGGGAAACATGGGACGAACATCTTTAAAAGGAAGCGAAACCATATAGCGACCTGAGTCATTGCGCTTAATAGTATTTGAGAAAATGTTTTCACAAACATAATCTTCTGGGGTGGTAGTTGGCAAAAAGGGTACACTTTCAACTTCCCAGAACTTTGAAATAAGTGTATCAAAGTTATTTTCTGATGCACAAAAAAATGACGAAACTGTAGCAGATGCGGAGTTCAGTTTAATTTTGCCCATCAGGATAAAACCAAAAATAGTGTTGATGGCTTCAGGTTCATCAGCAGACCCTGAAACGCGACCATTGAGAATTATTTTAGAGAAAATGTCAGCGCCTAGTAAGACATCAATATTACCTGGTCTACCAAATTGAGGATCAGCAAGCTGTAAATTTGAAATATGTGACCAATTATCATAAAAAACAGGGGAAGCAGGCATGTCATCACATATTTGATTCAATATAATGGCATCGGTATGCATCGTAGGAGTAGATTTGCCAATTGGTTTCAGGCATAAGGTGACAAATCCTTCATTACACGCAGACTGCATAGTACCAAGACCTTTCAATTCGATTGAGCATTTCAATTGTGGTAGACCCAATTTATGAACTGCCTTTCGACTGATAAATGAATTCATACTTCCAGAATCTAGTAAGCACCGCAGGGGTTGGAAGTTGCCACGATTATCAGTAAAATCTACCCATGCAGTAGATAAGAGTACACCCTTATTCTTTGCGATTATCCCAGCTCCCGCAAAAAATGAAGAATTAGAATTATTATTATTATTAATTTGAGAATTTGGCGGCGGCGAGATATTTGCGGAGCATCCAGGATTTTCGGCAGCAGACGTGGCAACGTTGGTGGGTTCCGGCTTATCAGGATGCAATAGCGTATGATGATATTTTGAAGCGCACCTCTTGCAACGAGCGTTAGAGCGGCAAGATCGAATATCGTGAGAGGCACTGAGACAGTTAAAGCAAAGGCGAGAACTTTTGCAAAAGGTATATCGTTCACTCTGAGGTTTATTAGCGAAGACAGAACAGGTATAAAGCGAATGATTTTCTTTGCAGAACGAACATGAGACTGCAGGAGATTTATTCACAAAAAAGGAAGTGGTCGTTCTATTATAAGCAGGCGGTTGACGTTTGGGCGGTAAACTTTTAGCGGTGACGGAAATATTGGTCAGCGGGACGTTACGAGAAATACCAAGTGTATCAAGAACGGTACAATGGTTCTGTAAAAAATCGAATAATTTTGAGTAGCTCGGTATATCAGCCGAACCATGTTCGAGTTCGAATCGGGTGACAATAGTTTTATCAAGGCGTTGAAGCATCATCATCACCAATATAAAGTCCCACTGATCTGTAGGAAATTGCAGGTTTTTCAAAGCTGCCAGATTTTCAGAAAAGGTATCGAGCAATTTCCGCAATGACTCAGCACTTTCAGAATTTGCCTTTGAAGAATTTTGTATTTCAGACCAGTGGGCTTGCGCGCGAAGTCTTTTATTTGAATAGCGATCCACTAAAGTTTGATATGCAATGAGATAATTGTCAGCAGTTAATGGTAAAGTACGGACCAGAGTAAGGGGTTGACCCTGCAAAGACGAAATTAGGTAATTGAATTTCTCGACGTCACTCAGTGAGCTATTGGAATGCACCAACGCATTGAATAAATCCAAATAAGTGACAAATGATTTATAATCACCATTAAATTTTTGTAATTCAATTTTCGGAAGACGAATATTATTATGATTACTAAATGCAAGAGTAGGATTCGCTGTCGAATTTAGCAGAGGATGGCCTTGTAGCGGATCATCAAAGAGTTCGGCATATACCTATTGCTTTTATTGCATAGTATTCACTTAAAAACCCTTCGCGTATTACGTTTTCATCATCTACCTCGGCTTGCGGATCAGTCAGGAGCGTACTGACAACGTTATTATGGTGGCGAATAAAATCTTCATATACACCTTGTAGATCGGCGTATCGGACTCTAAATAGGGTTCTAAGAGATTTATCAGTTTTTGCATTATTCGCGAGCGTACTTATAACACTTATCTCACTGAGAGATGTCGAGCGATGAGCTTTAAATTTTTTCAATTTTTCCATGGCGTTTTCTCAATCATTCAAGACTGCCTGACCCGAATTGGTATAAACAACAAAAACAGCTGATTGCTTTCCGAGTTCACTGTCCTCAAATATGCGTGATTGAAAACAACAAAAAATAGGTGTCCTGGCCTTGACACTATAAAATGAACAGGTGAGAATAGACAATCATGAATCCAGTTTTTATAGCAGAAGTTGCGATTGGCACGTGACTGGGCCTAGCCAATTAATTTGGGGCAAACAGGACCTGCGCTTGTCACCTTCCCTTTGTATGAGCACACGAACGAAAAGGCATTCAAAATGGCTAATTTTTTGAAATTTAAATATATATGTTAGCAAACCATTGAGAGCAAAATAGATAAGTAGCAAGTATAATTTTCAATTAGTTCAACTAATTTTTCCTGGAAATTGTAATTAATGCGAGGAAGCAGTCAAATTAAAACAAGGTTACCATGATTTGAAGCGTATTTGGCGCGAACTTGAGCACTATGAAACAATAGAATTTTTGGTAGAAATTTGGCTTGAAGGGCCAATGTTTGCGATCGATAACCCTTAAGTGGTGTTGAAAATGGACTGTATAATTTGGTTAAAGCGGGGCACTAAACGGACTTACCCAATAGGCCTCTCAGGTGGTCAGGTGGTCTCTCCAGGTGATGAAAGGGCCCTTTCTGGAATGAGTCTGCCTATCGCCTTGGTTTCACTTAATGCACAAGTCGCGCACTTAGATGTTCCCAAAATTGTCACTTGAGTTAGGTTAGCGGTAATAATTATCAGAGGAACCTTGTCTTGCAGCAATGGATCTTATCAGTCTTGAAAATTCTAATGAATACCGGTACTTCTTGGTACCTTTTTTTTATCGGTAACGTCCGAGGCCTGACGATTGACTATCAGGCGGGGGCGTGCGCCGTTTAGTGCCTTTATAGCGCGAAAATAAATTTGAATGGAAAATAAATAATTCACTATATCAACCACTTATAAGTATTGACGTAACAGGTATGATCCAAATACAGTTCCTTCATTACCTTTCATGTCGGTGAAAGGGACAACATTTTTTCACATGATTCAGATTTATTCACAAGCCATTCATTTTTAATATTTTCGACTGAATCAATCACCTTGTACATCAGTTAAAAATATTCCTCACCTATATCAGCTAAAGTCATATGGGGCGATACAGTAGCAATATTCTCGATCCCCAAAATATTACACACAGCATTTTTCAAATCGACTTGACATTCATCACCATCCCCAACTCTCTTCTTCTCAGCTAGAATCAAACTACAAACTACAGGAGACGGATGTTGCAAGTAAAAGTCAATTGTGTCTAGGCATGAATTCATCTTTTGAGGTGAAGTACCCTGTAGTACAATATCATTGCTGCCCGTAGCCTCCATGTACATCCCGACATCACCAATCGCACCCCATTGTATGACCATACCAGGGAAACCAGCAGCTTGACGGGATTCAACTATGCGTTCCATGCTAGAATTGGCGAAGCCATAGGTCGATTGTCCTGGATTTCCTGAAAGAAGAACATTTAGGATTTCACTATGCCCACTTTTAGCAGTGGTGAATTCATAATGTTATTGATAATCCATCAGGAACAAGCAATAGTTTCCTGGGAACTTGTTCTGAAAAGTTCAGACATAATAGAATAATCATAAAAGTCCTTGAGCCCATAAACGCTAGACTTTCGTTATTTTATAAAAGCGTTTCTCACACAGGTGATAACAATGCACAAATATTAAGTTCAGGTCATGGTTACAGGTAGCAACTTACTTACGCCAGATTATGAAGTATGATTTCTTTTATATATATCTCCTTTGGGATAATAAAAATGTAAAAACCCCTCGCCAGATATCCTTGAATGAATGAATGAATGAATGAATGAATGAATGAATGAATGAATGAATGAATGAATGAATGAATGAATGAATGAATGAATGAATGAATGAATGAATGAATGAATGAATGAATGAATGAATGAATGAATGAATGAATGAATGAATGAATGAATGAATGAATGAATGAATGAATGAATGAATGAATGAATGAATGAATGAATGAATGAATGAATGAATGAATGAATGAATGAATGAATGAATGAATGAATGAATGAATGAATGAATGAATGAATGAATGAATGAATGAATGAATGAATGAATGAATGAATGAATGAATGAATGAATGAATGAATGAATGAATGAATGAATGAATGAATGAATGAATGAATGAATGAATGAATGAATGAATGAATGAATGAATGAATGAATGAATGAATGAATGAATGAATGAATGAATGAATGAATGAATGAATGAATGAATGAATGAATGAATGAATGAATGAATGAATGAATGAATGAATGAATGAATGAATGAATGAATGAATGAATGAATGAATGAATGAATGAATGAATGAATGAATGAATGAATGAATGAATGAATGAATGAATGAATGAATGAATGAATGAATGAATGAATGAATGAATGAATGAATGAATGAATGAATGAATGAATGAATGAATGAATGAATGAATGAATGAATGAATGAATGAATGAATGAATGAATGAATGAATGAATGAATGAATGAATGAATGAATGAATGAATGAATGAATGAATGAATGAATGAATGAATGAATGAATGAATGAATGAATGAATGAATGAATGAATGAATGAATGAATGAATGAATGAATGAATGAATGAATGAATGAATGAATTTTTGACACATTACGATCTAACAAACTCACTGAAAATTGTGGACAGGAGTACTAGGCGCAACTTCGGTTTTTGTGGTTCACTTCACCTCAATTTTTCAGTGATAGATCACTTCGTTATTATTATATCTGATCAATGTACCTACCTATTGTTGCTGTCGAACAATTTTTCTTGGCAAATCAACATTATCATCATTATTATTATTATCATATTATATTATGTGTAATCAGAACGTGTAGATTTTTGTGACCGGAACATTGGACAATCAACATTTATGATAGCTTATAACTTTGCATGGGCTATCCGAAGGTAACGAGAATAGAATGATGAATTCAAGTTCGTAATCGAAAATAGGTTGAAGATGGAAGACAAAACGTCAGTTTTCAAATTTGATGAAAACGCCAACTTGTGAGGAAAAAGAGGTCTCCATGATGAAGTGTCATAAATTTCTATCAATTTCATCAGATAAATGAAAATATTGAGGGTTTTAGGAAATGGAGTTTTTTGCAGATATCTTCGAAAGTATTCGGAATTTTTCATGTTTTGAGACGGCATTTTGTCATGGAATTGCGCAAATTTGTCACAATTCAACCGCCACTATCACGGATCACGGGATCTCTAATGATGAGGCTCTAATTTCATTCTAATTCAGTATCTCAAGTGATTAAATATTCAATGATCGAATCAGGATTTCCTGATTTGAATGAAATAATGGAATAAACGTCCAATGATCCTTTAAGGAATCAGAAAATTGATTGATCATCATTTTCACATAATTATAGACGTTTTAGAATGAGTAATGTTTCACCTTGTCTCAACATTATCACACGAATGAAGGACGAATCGAGTACACCAAAAGATATGAATGTGTGATTTTCAAACGTTGAAATGAACAAGAATCTGTTGTTTCAATCTAGTACGTTGTGAATGTGTCGTTTCAGTGGGATGAGATGACGTGATATTGCTTTTTTTTATCGCTCGGAGCGCACGAAAGGGAATCCCTATAATATTCAAAGAACATCGTGCGTTCCTAGGAAGGATAGGGACAGGAGGTAGGCTCCAAGTGATGGCCACCAAGGGTACAAGAATCAGAACTTTTTCGTACATCGAATACGACACTCAATTCGATCGCCTTGGGTCTTTCCAAGTAAAAGTTCCTCAACATATAATCAAATTTCCATCTTCCGGACGTTAATGGAACATTTAGGGTGTGATTAAGTATAATTAGTTTTCTCTCGTGATGCTAGTGGTTCACTAGTCCTCAGGGAAAAGCATAATTTCACGAAATAACCATGAAGTAAGATCTTGCAGACCACGTCCAATTTCGCCTCAAGTCAATTCATTCTCTCCTGAGACTTCACAAATAAGGGATTCATCCCTCGCGTAACATTCATAGTCCTTCGAACTAGGATGAATCGAAAATATAATTTCATTCTCTTTTAGGAGTGTGGACACACTTGTCATATTGTTAAACAGCTGAACAAAATACATGAGACACAAATATATTTCATAACCCTAATAACACAATTATGTCCCATGGATATCCTTAGGAGGTCCTGTCGGGACATTCAGGACATCCATAGGACGTTCGAATTTGGTACGGTGGATATTCATTGGACCTCTGTGGGACTCATCAATGTCCTACTTGAGGACCAACTAGGGATGTCCCCGAGGGATGACCATGACACGACTATTGAATACCTGAATCCTACAGTATTCCCCATCAAGCACTACAGAGGACATCCTTAGGACACTCGTAGGATAACTTATAAGCAACGCAGAGGGACATCAATTGGATGTCCATAGGATGTCCCAGGGACGTACGAATTATTCTTGAATTCGAATTTTCCTGGGTCCCTCTAGGACCAGATCTTGCATAACTTATGAGGACATCCAGTTGAGTTGATGGTCCGTAGCAAGTCCCCAATAAATCCCGGAAAAGTTTCCCAAGGATGCCCAATGGGTTTACGTGAAGGACATCTACAGGGAGTATTTATAGCCTACGAGCAATCATTCGTCGGCGGGGTGTAAGTTAACGTCCTCACAGGGACAACATATTGAAAGTACCGGCTGCGACGTCTTTAGGACGTTATTTCTAGGACATTGGATAAGTACAGTCCATGTACCGATTGGGACATTTGACGGATATCCCTAATGGACATTCGAAGGATGTCCCTAAGGAACATTTCGATTGTTAAACAATCCTGGAAATATTGAGGGCGTCTGTGCAGAGATATTTGAAGGAATGTATCATCAGGGACATTTCATGGTTGTGTAGAAGGGACATTATATAAGATCTGAAGTCATGCCAGAATATGTACTACTCGGGACATCCGATGGATGTCCCTAAAGGGACGTTTGAAATTATATCCCATCAGGGACATGCCAAGGACATTCTACAATATGTACCACGTGGGACGTCTGAGGGATGCTATTTCTAGGACATTTAAAATGATGTACCATCTGGGACACTCCGTGGACGTCCTTGCTCGGACATTGCATGAGATATACGGGATGGGAAGTTCCAAGGATACTAATTTTTGATCCGGGACATTCGGACTTGAATTGTACCAAATAGGGACGTCCCTAGGACGCTGTGTGCTATTAGGGAAGAGATAGAATATCATTTGCCTGTGCCCCTTTATTGAATGAGTGCTGACATATTTTTCATTGATATCGGCTCAACACCAAAGGCACATAATACTCATTGCCTCGTTTTATCAATATTATGTCAATGAATGTATTTTCATGAAATGAATATTGGAATTCGAAGCTTCAGTGAACACTTGAGATGTTGGTTAACCATGTAGTTGAGACAAAAAGCTAATGGAAGGGGATAATGTCCCCTTTGCGTATATCCAATCGTGCCATGATACAAAGTGAGCTGAGTCAGTGGCATAGCGTCAATATTCCCGAGAATATTTCGTCCCTGTCAAAAGATAATATCCGATGGACCAGTATTAAACTCTCGTGGTGCTCGCACTATTCTCGTGAAAATTGGACCTCTATTACTAACTCTGTTCAGTTTGAATCGTGGGTCGTTTGGATAGTCGCAAAGGGGACATTATTTTCTTCCATTTGTTCTTTGTTTCAACTCGATATATCACATGATGGAAGTATGTTTGGAATAACGGCAGCAAGTGAAACGCTGTGCCTCGGATTTGGCTCAGATTAGGGAGTGCACAGGCAGATTTTTGAGACCTACCATTTAATTGGTATCGGATGGCATATATCTTGTATCGTTATCAAATCGCGAAATCGGGTGCCAATTAACGCACTGGAAAGTGCACTGATTCAATCATCTTGATCATGATAGTGATTGGAACAGGAGCCGTTCGATAAAATACAATGTTTTCACATACCTTTGGGACATATATATCATCTCGTTATCAGATGACGGTCGAAATTTGCAACTGGACTATATGAAGTTTCCTTCTCAAAATGAGGTTAGGAAACATATCTTTTCTCTCAAGTCATCAATTGAATTACACCCTGCATGGGCTGTTTCATTTGGAATAATTGACGCAGACATGAATCGCCCAGTATATTCGATTGCCCCTATTTCAGGACATCTTTAAGGAAGAAATAATATCAGAACTGGCTGCCTACTGAGGAAAGTTCTTTTTATAGTTTCACAAGTAACCTGTATACAATTCAACATTGATTATCCGACCTTCAACTACTTGCGCCTTCGAATATATCATCAAGAATTGCGTGCGGTGTAATTTGTACACCATCATCATAAATACTCCAAAGGGAACACAAAAAATACAGATATCTTCAAAAATTGTTAGAGTTGTTTCATAAACATTATTTGCATCATCATCGCTAATAGTACATAACGTCCTAGGAAGGTCCCTATTTGGTACAATTCAAGTCCGAATGTCCCGGACCAAAAATCCCATCCCGTACATCTCATGCAATGTCCGAGTAAGGACGTCCACGGAATGTCCCAGATGGTACATCATTCCAAATGTCCTAGAAATAGCATCTCTTAGACGTCCCACGTGGTAAATATTGTAGAATGTCCATGCAAGGACGTCCTTGGTATTTCCCAGATAGGATATGATTTCGAACGTTCCTTTAGAAACATCCATCGGATGTCCCGAGTAGTGCATATTCTGGCTTGACTTCAGATCTTATATAATGTTTCTTCTAGTCAACCATGAAATGTCCCTGACAGTACATTCCTTCAAATATCTCTACACAGACGCACTTAATATTGTCAGAATCGTATAAAAATTGGAATATGTCCCTTAGAGACATTCTTCGAATGTCTCTTAGGGATATCCGTCGGATGGTACATGAACTGTACTAATCCAATGTCCTAGAAATAACGTCCTATATATGGACGTCCCAGTCGGTACTTTCAATATGTTGTCCCTGCGACGACGTTAACTTACACCTCACCGACGAATGAATACTCCCGTCAATGTCCTTTACGTAGGTCCATATTGGACATTCTTGGGAAACTTCTTCAGGATCTATTGGGGACCTTCTACGGACCATCAACTCAACTTGATGTCCTCATCACTTATGCAAGATCTGGCCATAGAGCAACTTAGAGAAATTCAAATTCAAGAATAATTCGTACGTCTCTGGGACATCCTATAGACATCCAATTGATATCTCTCAGCGTTGCTGAAAGGTTGTCGTCGATAGTTGTCCCAGGGACATCTCTCAAGGACATCCCTAGTTGGTCCTCATGTGGGATATTTGTGCGTCCAATAGACATCTAATGAACGTCCAGGGTACCAAATTCGAACGTGCTATGGACGTCCTGAATGTCCCGACAGGACGTCCTAAAGATATTCATGGAACATAATTGTATTATGAGGGATTGATGTATTGAAAACAGGAACAAATATGTATAAAACTTGATACTAGAAGATATCAAACAAAGCAGAAACCAATAAGAGTTTGTGGTATCGCATGGTATCTTTTACACACCAAATAGAACGGCTGTGGATTTCACAAGAAAATAACGACGTTCTCATTTGAACAATCACAGTGCGACAGAGTAAGGTTCATGGTTCTAGTGGTCACTTCAATGATAGGTTAGGTGGAGACACAGTGGCGAAATCGTTCCAATCGGTAATTATCAAGAATAAGAGTATGTTTTCTGTGACGGGAAAAAAGTTTGGCATTCCATCTCTGTTGGCAGGTTATGAAATGTCACTTTTCATAAATAATTACTTTTTTCTCGTGGGGAAAAAGTGAGTACTTCTTTCCCGGATATATATCATATATATATACACTGTTGATGGCTCTTGTTGTGCTATAGTTCCGAAAAATGAGTCAATGATGCCTTCTCCGAGAAAGAACTGCAAGTCCTTTTATCTTCCATTCGACTTCGCGGTTACGTATATTACTGAACAACCACTTAATTCGCACTTTTTTGAAATCAAATCAGAGAATTAGACTGACAGAAGTGACATCAGATATTTGATTACTTCAAAAGAATGATAAAGATGCCTACAACGCAGGGTGTCCCTATTGTTAAATACTTGAAATTTCACGTCGATAATTTTCAGATTCCAAAATGATGTCAAATATTCTCAATATTGATTCGTCCTTTCTTCTGTCACAGGAAAATAAGTGTACCTATTATACACGGAAAAATTATTAGATTTCAGCTCACGGTTTTTTGTGTCCCTCCGCTACGCGTCGGGAGACAACACAACCTGAATCTACTACTTTTTTTTTTGCTTGTATAATAAATAACTATTCCACTGCAAGTGGTGTATGTTATACGCCGGCACCAGTAGTACAAATCATCAAGGTTCAAGGGTGTCTGGCAAGGAAGAGCCATCATGGGAAATGCCTATGAAATAACCTGCCAAAGGCACCATGAGCTGAACTTTATATTTGCACATCGTTCTTACCTGTGTTGGAAGCATGCGGTGGGAAACTTCTAGGTTTCATGAAATAACTAAGGCCTGGCGTTCATCGGCTCTTGCTCGATAACAATGTTAGTTATTTTTTGATGATACACATTGTTACTTTGGATATTGAAATAACATCGATGATGATCCAAGCTTGGTCGGAACACATACAAACCTCTTTGTTCGTTACATGGTTTCGGCTAGAAACTGATATTCGATGAAGTGACAAGAAGACTCTCAAGATACAATTTGCATGGTGCATAAAAAAAAGCAAATTCTTGTCTCCATAGTGGTCCCCACCACAATAGCTTGGAAATAACTTCAGATAGCCGACCATTTAGAGGGTTGATACCATTTAGAGGGTTGATACAAACATTTCAAAGCTTATTAATCCTAGGAGCATTTCATCATTCACAAGCTCAAAACCTCAACGAAATCACTAGACACAGGTACTATAGAATGACCAGAGGTGAAGAAAAAAACTTGAGGATCTGAAGTCATCTCTTTATCTTCATACCCCAACACTGAATACTTCATTGTTCATCAAATGAACTATTTCAGTATTTCATTCGAATACACATATAACCAGGAGTTGTCATCAATGAATCCAGAGCGTGAAATAGGCTCCTAGAACGCCCTAGTGCGTTAAAGTGTCGCTTTATACGCCCGCATAATACGGGAGATATCGTGCATAAACAAAATAACGATGCCAAATTCGTTAATTTGATTCGCGACCAAATTATTATTGAGTATCACAAAAAATATCTGAATTATATTAAGCAGTCCTATTTCAATAAATTTCATGTATCTTCAATTGGTTATTCGAATTTTCTTTCACCTCTCGGTATCAGAACGGGTATTCGCCTATGGAAAATTTGCCAACGCTTTATCAATTATCTGATATCTATATTCAACACAAATGAATATTTCACCTCCTCTAATAATCAAAAGACAGTTTTCAATGTTCAGGGGGTATTTGCTTCCTGATTATGTCTAGTCGTTATTGAATTTATATTGTGTATCAGTTTGAGTCCTCGGAAAGAATGTTTTAATGGATGTATTGATGAAGGTCATAAGCCTAGACATAAAAAAAGGGGAAGACAAACTTCTTTATTTACATTTGGTCCTGATCCAGAATCGTTTTCAGCAGAAAACGATGATTAAAAATCCCTGCGGATTGCCCTAGATCTAGGAAAGCTCCATTTATACATTGATAATATATTATTTTTAGGGGGATCCATTCATTCATTTATGAAGAGATGTAAAACAGCTAGGATAAGTCACAATCACATCTGTAATGCATTTCAAAAAATTTAAATTCTCCTAATTTCATCATTACATATGGAGTTATATTAGCGTGTTTACTACGAGTGACGCATATTTTCCCTATTGTCATTGACGTATTTCCAAATCCGACGTTACAGTGTTGTTGTGCTGTGTTTGTCACCATTTAAGGACGTTTTGTGTTTCGATTGATTTTCAGTGTTTCCTTGTGTTAAACTTTATAAAGACAATTATCGATACAATATTATCGTTTGCCAGTGCATGGATTGTGAAAAAATTCGCTATTCGAACCCCAATTCGTATTTTTGCGGTAAGTAAGGTAATATATTTTTTTAAATTTGATCACAGGGGTGGTTATCGCAGGTAATTCAACTGAATTATTGCAAGGAACGTTGTTTCTTTTGTTTGAGAATCAATGTTTGTTATTGATATTGAAAGACTAGGCTTGAACATTTCCTAATAGGTATAATAGCAAATACTGTCTGTAGAAATTGAAATTAGAATATGAGTGTCATTTCAATTTACATGTAGTGAGAACAACTCAAATGGTCACTGACAGGCGAACTAGTTTTTTTATGGCTCTCTGATGTAATCAGTTTCGAACGAAGTGACATTTTGGGGCCAAGTATCTGATTTGTGCTCACTACACGTGTATTGAAATGATACATACATCATTTTTTTATGGAGCAACCCTTTAAGTATGTTTGATTGTAGACACATAGTGTTTTATGAATCGAATATTATGTTTGCCCTCTTTTTATAGGTTCATGGTCATATGCCACAGGTTCTTCTAGAATATATTCTTCATCATTCTCAAATTTTTGACGACTCCATCTCGAAGTGAATATTATTCCTTCCTGACCGACAAGGAATCTCCATAAAATCGTTGTATATGAGTCTTTGTATTTCATGATTCATTGAAACATTTTGATCTCTATTTTTCAAGATTGTTGAATTGTGACTCGTACCCCAAACGAACCGATCGGAAGTGAATACTATTTTTCATAATACAAGGCAAACTCAGACTCACCTCTACCACAGGAGCCAGTCGAGAATGTAACGAAATAGTCCAACTGTGGAGCTTGAATTCTCGAAGCAGCATCGAGCATTTTAGTTCCGTCAACTTTCGGCTTGCAAACTATTCCAAAATTGGCTTCCGACTGATTCTCCATCAAGGCATCTCGCAAAACTGCTGCTAAATTGAAAATTCCTCCAACAGGGCCCAATCTGATCGCTTCGTCTAAAAGTTTTCTGGCACCTTCTGCGACAGTGATATCAGATGTAGAAATATGTACTTTGATGCCCATTTTCCTCCACCTTCTTATGCACAAGGATTGGTAACCAGTTCGGATGCCAGTTCTGGATGCTAAGACTATCTTAGTTGCTCCTCTTGTGATCAGCCAATCAGTTAATTCGAGTCCAAAACCACCGAGTCCACCCACCAACACATAACTTTTCTTTGGATGCATGTAGGTACGAGGAATGGCACTAAACATTTTCGAATAGGGACGTTGAATCTGTATGTTGTCTTCATTTCTGATTTTGATCAATACTTTACCAATATGTTTTCCAGTAGTCATGAATTTGAAAGCTTTTTCGACTTCCTGTTTTTCAAATACTGTTGTGGAAAGTGGTTGGACAATACCGTTTTTCATTCCTTCGGTGACCAAATTTTTAACGTGTCGCCTTTCAGTGCTATCGCAGTAGAATAATGAATTGAAGTTGACGCCATAGAATGTTGTATTTTTTGATAACATGCTCATACGAATTGACGAATCATCGAACATATCTGGCTTACCAATTTCTAGAAATCTTCCACCAACAGCCAAGCACCTAACTGACGCTTGTAATTGATGACCTTCCAAAGAGTTCAAAATACAGTCAACTCCCCGACCATTGGTTTGAATCTTGACCATCTGTTCAAAGCTGATATTTCTCGAGTTACCAATATTTTCATCTTTGAGTTGGGGAAAAGATTTCTTGAGAAAATCTCGTTTCACTTGGCTACTAACTGTAGTGAAGACGGTGCAACCCATTTGGAGAGCAATGGTGATGGAGGCTTGACCTACCCCACTGGTACCTGCATGAACTAGTATGGATTTACCAGGTTTCAGACCACCTCTGGCTATGAGGGCGTAATAGCTCTGAAAAAATATAATACAGGGTGTTTCAGACTTAAATGTACATACGATACTGGCAGATAGAGGACACTTTGACGGTTTCAAATCACCCCCATTGATGTGCTTACCGTCTTTTATAACTGAGATACAGGACGTAATCTTCATCTGGTCATAATTTTCGAACCACTTTGTATAATCTATTCATACATGGTAGAAATATTGCACTTATATTACACATCAAAACTAAATAAAAATTGAGATCAGAATATAGGTCTGTCTGAAGGAAAAACAGACAACATGTTCATTTCAAAAACAACACTCTGTATGGCAGAATTTCGTGGATCTGTTTTGATATTTGGAAAGAGCAGGAAAAAATTAATGAAGTAACCTACTTATAACGAGCGCGCATCCAATTTGACAGATGGTTTATTATTATGTTTTGAAATATTCACCCCATTTCGAGGAATTTTTATTGAACTGTAATTAAAAATCCAATTCTGATACAAAATAGTTATTTTTGTATCTAGAGCGCGAAATGCTACTTTGGTGATCGAGATCTGATTTTTTTAACGAGGCGTAGCCGAGTTAAAAAAATAGTCGAGATGACCAAAGTATTTCGTGCTCGAGTTGCAAACAACATTTTTTCTAGAAACGTCAAAAAATATAGTTCAAAAGTAAAAATATGCTTAGCTTGATATACAAAATGGTGTTGAACTGGCTTAGAAGGCCTCCCCTATCCTCCCTAGGTAGGCACGATGTTCCACGAACATAATAGAAATTTCCTTTCGTACGCTCCAAGAGATAAAACGAAATTATTGTTGAACATTCAGAAATAAATGATTTTTTAGATGTTTTCGCGATTAAGGACCATTTAGTTGAAATATAAATATCTCATATATTTTCCATAACAATGCGCGAAGTAGGTACTTCGCGCACTGTTTTACTTCGCACATTGTTTGGTGCAAGATATCATGGTAACATAGGAAACTGAATAAAAGTGTCACTTCGCAATTTGCTATCAATGCGCGAACCTTGTCATTTTTTGACGTTTGTAGAAAAAAATATTTTTTTCTACAAACGTCAAAAAATGACAAGGTTCGCGCATTGATAGCAAATTGCGAAGTGACACTTTTATTCAGTTTCCTATGTTACCATGATATCTTGCACCAAACAATGTGCGAAGTAAAACAGTGCGCGAAGTACCTACTTCGCGCACTGTTATGTAAAATATATGAGATATTTATATTCCAACTGTATGGTCCTCAATCGAGCAAACATACACGAAATCATTTATTTCTGAATGTTCAACAATAACTTTGTTTGATCTCTTGGATCGCACGAAAGAAAATCCCTATTATGTTCGTGGAACATCGTGCGTACCTAGGGAGGATAGTGGGATGCCTTCTAAGCCAGTTCAACACTATTTTCTATATCAAGCTCAGCATATTTTTACTTTGGAACTATATTTTTTGACGTTTGTAGAAAAAATGTTGTTTGCAACTCGAGCGCGAAATACTTTGGTCATCTCGACTATTTTTTTAACTCGGCTACGCCTCGTGAAAAAAATCAGATCTCGATCACCAAAGTAGCATTTCGCGCTCTAGATACAAAAATAACTATTCTTCATAGTTGAACGTCATTAGAAGCAAATAGGGTGAACTATTGTAGGATAGCATCCTGTATATAAATGAGATGAATGAAAGGAGTAATGTATGACGTGTGATAGTAGAAAGACGAGAGTACGACGTGTCAAGAAGATATGTGTGTTATTTGTTGTATTTTAGCGGTATTTATGTTGAAATATACCTATTCGTTCCGTAAAGTTGCCTCAATCCTATAAATTTGGGGGCTCAACCGGGATTGGCATTTTTTTGGAGCGAATGAGTTCAAGCCTGTCAGAGTGACAGTGAAGTGAAAAAAGACGACAAAAATTTTACAATTTGACGACGGGATAATTCGAAGACGTGAAGACGAAAAGAATCAAAGAAGACGGGAAGACTATTGGATAAGAAGACGAGAAAACGATAACACACGAAGACGAGAAGACGAAATAACAAAAAGACGACGAAAAAATCGAATACCAAGACGTAAGGAGGGAAATACAAAAGAGACGGAATTGAAGACGGTAGAGACGGAATTGAAGACGGTAAAGACGAAAGAGGGGTCAAGAACGAGAATCATTTCATCATTCGGTAGAAGTGCGTGCGTTATTCAAAAACTATTCGTAACATTTTCGGGCTGATCTGAACTATAGACCAAGTGAAGATGATTTTGGTGTAACAGACATCCAACATATACTATTAAATATCAGGTAACATAAGGAAGATACGAGGTGAGCATTTCGCTTTGCATTTTAACAGATTTGAAAAGACTATTGCTTAAGCTATTTGAAAGACATTCAGAAGTATAGTTGTTATTTCTGAACTAGATGATTCCAAATCATCGTTTGAGTTTGAAACAGACATTTTGAGTGGACATTTTATGGAACTATACTACTTTCAGTGTGAAGTATATCACTGCATAAACTATTTCGGTATCTAACGAACTCTATTCCGTTTTGTTTTAAACACTGTTGTTCTGAAATCACAGACTTTTTGCGAATTTCCATATCAGATATTTTTACGAAAATGGTGACACTTGGTGACATTGACAATATTTTGAGCGGCATAAACGTTGCTCCAGTCAAAGTGATAAAAACTTTCCATAAACTTGTTTTCGATATTGAGGGTGATAGAAATAACAGGAAAAGACTACGAGCTTTTTCCGGTTTTAATTTTGATTTGAAATCTGTTGAATACGAACACAAATTAAAATGCATTGATGATCATTTTTCTATCAGCGATTTAACTTTGATAGCAAATATTTTGGGTTTAGATTACAATACCGATAAAAGTAACCTCATTATCGATATTATTGGTAATCTTATGAATTTGGAAAACTTGAAGACACAGCTAGAAAAAGACGAAGAAGATGAAGATGAAGATGAAGACGAGGAAGAAGAAAATGACGAAAATACTTTGATACTGAGAAATAGAATGAGGGAAGGCGATCGAGATCGGAGTAATTCGAAAAGCATACAGGGTGATTCAACACATAAAGAGATAAATGAACAAGGAAGTATACAGGGTTGTTCAGCAGATTATATACAAAATGAACAAGAAAGTATACAGGGTGATTCCGCTTTCCATTCAACTTCGCGTAATCTACCATTCGCCATGAATTTTCGAGACGTGGAAGATTCTATCAAAAAATTTGATGGAACAAATTCATATTCTGTTGAAAAATGGATCAATGATGTAGAAGAAATGAGTTCAATATTCAGTTGGACCGATTTATGCACCTTTGTTTTCGCCAAAAAATCAATAGTTGGTTTAGCAAAACTATTTATACAAGGTGAAACCGGTATAACATCCTGGAAATCCTTGAAATATGCACTTTTGAGTGAATTTTCATCAAAAATGAATAGCGCGAAGGTTCATCGGATGTTGACTGAACGAAGAATGAGAAAAAATGAAGATGTGCATGAATATTTTCTTGTTATGAAAGAAATTGCTAATCGAGGTACAATTGAATCTGATGCATTGATCCAATATGTTATCGATGGTATCCATGATGAACAAACCAACAAGATTTTACTTTATGGAGCAAGAAATCTTAAAGAATTCAAAGATAAGCTGAAGATATATGGGGAGATGAAAAATAAAATTAAATATTCTGGTTATTCTTCCAACAGAGATACATGGAAAAATGATAGACAGAATAGAAGAGATGAAAGGACAGAAGAAAAATACCATAATCACACAAGAATCCGTTGTTTCAATTGTGGAATGAATGGACACAAATCCCAAGATTGTCGAAGCAAAACATTAGGCGCAAAATGTTTCAAATGTAATAGGTATGGACACAAATCATTTGAATGTTCGTCAGTGAATAGTACTAATCGCACAGAACCTAATATGCCACGAAGAAATCAGGAATTTACCCCAACGACGACCCGTGCAGAACCTTCAGTCAATGAAATCACACAGAATCATCTTCAGACAATGTATAAGATGGTAAGATTGAACGAACACCTTATCAATGTGCTGATTGATACAGGCAGTCATGTAAATATCATTACTGAAAATACTCACTTCTCCATTGGTTCTCCACCACTTACTAACTCAACTATCAAGCTGACCGGATTTGGAAGATCATCTGTTAATACTTTAGGGAAATTTGAAGGATATATTGAAGTTGATGGTAGCAATTTTGTGTCTACAGTTCATGTTGTACCTAATAAAACAATATCGATGCAAGCTATCATAGGAACTGAGTTACTGAATAAAGCCGAAATTTCTATTGATGAAAATGGAATTATTATAAGAAAACGCCAAGAAAATCAATGGTTATTGAATATCCAGATAAATGAAACTGAAGAATTGAACGTAGGAGAAGACATAAGTTCAGAACTGAAAGAAGATATATTAGAAGTAGTGAATAAAAGCCTGAAAAGATTAAATATACAGATGTGGAAATGAGAATAACTGTCAAAGATGACCAACCGATATATTCAAATCCAAGACGATTACCTTATGCAGAGAGAGAAGTTGTGGACAAACAGATAGAAGAATGGATTAAGGAAGGGATTGTGGAACCATGTAGCTCGGAATATGCAAGTCCAGTAGTTTTGGTGAAGAAAAAATGTGGATCCTATAGACTATGTGTTGATTATAGGAGAATCAATAAAATAATAGTGAAAGATAGATTTTCCACTACCACTAATAGAGGATCAACTCGACAAATTACAAGACGCTCGAATTTTCACTACCATGGATTTGAAAAATGGATTTTTCCATGTTGCAGTCGAAGAGAATAGTAGGAAGTATACATCTTTTGTAACCCATAATGGACAATTTCAATTTCTGAAGACACCTTTCGGACTTTGCAATTCTCCAGCAATATTCCAACGTTACATAAATCGAATTTTTAGTGATCTTGAAAAACAAGGAATTATTATGTTATATTTGGACGATTTGATAATT